ATACTTTTTATTTTTTTATTTTTATTTTAGGAGCAAAATATAATAAATGGAAAAATCTATGGATGCAAATTTTTTTGCATCTTTTTTCTTTTTTGTAAATTATTTAGATGCATTTTTTCTTTGCTAATTTTCGTACCCAATTTAATCATTCTATTCAATCGCATATATATTATTTCTGTTTTTCAATAAAACAGATTATCATTATATCACATTTGTTTTGTTAATTTTAATCAGATTATTCAATTAATCATTTAATATCTTTTAAAAACAATGAATAAATAAGATGCTTGACATATCAATGTTTAATAAATATATTTCGATGATTTATGAAATGAAGAAAAGAATAAAAGAAAAATGAACAAACAAGAAGGAGAGATAAGAAAGAGAAATGAACTTAATAAACAAGAAGAAGAAAGAAATGATATTAAAATGAATATTCAACGAAGAATGAAAAAGAGAATAATAAAACATATTGAATGAAATAATAAAGAAGAAATATAAAAAGAAAAGAATAATAATAAAGAAAATGAACATAAAGAAGAAGGAGAGAATATAATAAATAACAAGATAATATATAAAAATGAAATCAATAAAGAGAATTTCTATATTTGTAATATCAAAAAATATATAATCCCAACATTAAAATAAATAATTTGAATAATATGTATTTATGAATTTATTATTATTTATTCATATTCAAATTGAATATTTCATTCTTCATTTTATTGTGTTAATGTTGTTCTTTTATTATTAATAATTTATTTCAATGAGAAATGAAGAATATTATCATAATTTTGTATTTTGATTATAACACTCGTTTTAAATAACAAAATATTCAATTTAAAATAAACAAATAAAAAGAATAATTTAAAATAAATGAAACAGAATACAACCTCATTTTGTTCATATTCATAGAATAAGAAATGACAATGGAAGTTGTTATAAATGTGGGAATGTCTTATGAACAAATATCAACATGAAAGAGGAATATAAAAATTGAAAAATAATTTAAGACTTAAATGAAATTATTCAGAAAACAATAAATAAAAAATTAACATCAATATTCAAAAACAATAAGAAGAAAACAGTCATAAAATAATCCATTAACCGATGACAAAGAAGAAATAACAATGTTGTGTTGTTGATGTGTGAATTATTTACAATAAAATGAGAATGATAGTATTATTCAAATCAACTCATAAGAAGAAATAAACAAGAAACAAATTAAATTCACTCAACATCTATTTTTTAAGTGTTTGTTTTAACAACGAGTGAAACACTCTTATTTTTCATTAATTTATTTTATAATTTGTTCAAATAAACTATAAAATTTCAATGAGAAAATAAAACAAATAGATGATTATTTCATTTAATCTGTTTCATAACAAATTCAAAATAACATTTTAAACAACATGAAGAGAAATAAACATTTGATGAAAAAAAAAGAAAATAAAAGAACTAAATAAAAAATAATAAAAATATGTCAATTATTAGATATATCCATTATTGAATATTATGAATATTGAGAAGTGATTATTTCAGTTTCTTCAATACGCTCTATTGATGTAATAAAGTTCATTTCTAACACAATCGCATTATGTTGTTCTTCTAATGTGCTGCCAGAATTTCCTGTATAAAACATTAAGTCTTTCATATTTTTTATTATTATTGTTCGTAGGATTTTAGAAAAGTCTAATTGTAATTTCAGTGTTTTTAATCTTCTTACTGACTCTTTGTGTATTAATCAATTTATTGATAATATTACAGGTATTATTTCTACATATATTAATTCTCTATTATTTCTTAATTTCTCTTGTAATTCTTTGTATTTATTTATTTTGTGAATATAATTTAATTCTATATTATTATCTTGACATATAGCAACATCTATAATATATCCTTTCTTTTCTTTCATATTTTGATATTATATATCTTGTCTTCTAGCATGGAATGAATTGTCACTAACCAATAAATCAATATTGTAAGTTATAACTATTTTATCATTATTAATACATTTAGGAGGATTATTAAAATCAATTGCATTAAATTCATTAAAATGTGTAATTAATATTTGTTTAAATATTTGTTTACAAACATAATCATGTTTTAATATTTGATTCTTTTTCATTACATCCTAACAATATATGATTAATAGATGTAATTGTGTTAGGACAATGTTTACAATATTTCAAAGCATCATTTTGGAGTATTTTTGATTTAATACTTCATGTCATACTTACTCCTTCTTGCATTTTTACTATTTGGAGGAATGCATTTCTTTTTATATTCAGTGACTTCCATGTGGCTACTGTTAATTTCTTATCATTGAAAGTGCCATTTGCACATCTTATATATTCACCACATTTCTTTTCTTTCCAATCATTTAAATATCTATCATTTAATTCATTATTTACCAATTCAAATATTTCCTTTACATTGTGCTTTCTTTCATTTATTTCTATTACGTTCATTAATTCATTAAAATTAATCTTCTTACCAAATGCTTTCTTCATTCTTTTAATTATTCCATTTGGACTTTCTTTTATTGCTTCTATCATTCTCCTATTCCTGTGTTTGATCTCCACTTATATTTTAAATATATTCTTAATAATTCTTTACCACATTCATCTCTTGCTGACATTAATCCTATTCCCAGTTCATTTATTTTAACATATAATCTACTTTTGGGTATATTTCTACTATATAATTTGAGTTGTATCAATGATTTTCTTATTTGTTTATCTATATTCTCCAACTCTCCTAGTTTCCATTGGACAATACTAAATCCATATCTTAATTTGGAGATTATATCACTATTAATCGTTCTTATTGTATTGAACATTTGATGTTAAAAAGAAAAATATTTTAATGTCATTTGAATTGTTTTTTTTTGAATAAAGAATGAGGAAAATGCAGAGATTGGTATTTTTTGATGAGAAGGAAAAATAATTTCAATGAAATAAAAAGCTAATTTAAGCAATAAATCAAAATAAAATGAAATAAACACGAATGAGTATCAACAAATCATTTTTACAGTTTTAATTGTAATAAAAATACATAACATTCGAAGTCGGTAATAAATATAAAAATAAGCAATGTTATTTCATACAGAAAAATAGTTTTCATTTACGATATTTTTTTAGAAGATGAAATAAAAATAAACAAACATCAATACTATTACGTTTTGTATTTCAAAGGAAACTAACTAACAACGAGAATAAATTATTTTATCGCAAAATACACTGACTTATAAATATTTTTAATAACAAATAAATAAACATCATTGAATAAGTTATCAGAAAGTATTTAAAGAAAATAAACAACTAATAAAACAGAAATGAGTTTACAAGAAGGAAAACAAACGAAATTACTTTTAATTGGAGAAACAGGAAATGGTAAAAGTTCACTTGGTAATTTCATTTTAAAGAAGAATATTTTTGAAGTGGGTGATACTACAAAGTCAGAAACAGAAAAAGCCAAAGTAGAAAATGGTGAAGAAGAAAGAAGTGATTTAATTATTGTTGACACACCTGGTCTTAATGATACTAATAATTTTGATACTGAAAATATTCAAAATATTGTTGATTGTGTTAGGGTAACAGGGTTGCAGGGAATTATATTAACAATGAATTATAATGTAAATAAACTGTCTAAAAGCATTAAACAAATTATTGAAACTATAAATAATGTTTTGAAAATAAAAGACTTTTGGAAACATGTTTGTATTGTTTGGACGATGTGTTATAATTCTCTTCCACCAAAGAAAATTGAAAAAGATAAAATTAAGAAAGAACAATACAAAGAAGATTTGAAAGAATTTATAAACCAAATAAATAAAACAAATGAAGATATTGATATTCCAATGTATTATGTAGATTCACAACCAGATGAAGATAGTGATAATAGCAGATCAGAAAAAGAAATAGAAAGTTTAATTGAATGGGCAAAAGAATTAGAATTAATTGATGAAAAAGAAATTAATAAATTAGTCAGTAAATATAAAGAAATTCGATATGAAGAAAAAGAAGAAACTAAAACAAAAAAAGAAACAAAGTCTGATATAACATATGAAAAAAAGACATACAGAAGATGTATTAAAGTAACAAATGATGGAAAAGAAATAGAAAGTGAATGGTATTTATTTAGCAGAGGAATTAAAACAGAAAAGAAAAAAACTTTTATGGAAAAAGTATGGGGTGTTGTTAAAGTTTTAGGTGTTATTTCCCTTGGTGTTGGTGTTGGTGTTGCTATTGGTGTTATTGGTGGTATTGTTGTTGGTACTGTTGGTGGTGCTGCTATTATTGGTGGTGCTAGTGCTGTTGGTATTGCTACTATTGTTAGTGCCGGTAATGCTGCTGCTGTTGGTGCTATTGGGGGTGGTGCTGTTGGTGGTGTTGTTGGTGGTGTTGTTGGTGGTATTGTTGCTGCTATTAAAAAATGATCTAGTGATGATAAAAAGATAAATAACACCAAAAAAATTGAAAGTTAATTAAACATTATAAATGATTTATGTTTTGAATTTGATAAAAGAAAAATGATGAAATACTTTCTAAAATACTTTCAAAACAGATAATATCCTTTTTAATCAGTTTAAAAAAGAAAAATAGTAAAACACAATAAATGTATTGAGTAATGATGAAAATATTGTTTGTTTATAGTTGTATAAGTCAAATAACATATAATACATTTTCTGTGTGAACTTCTTCATATTCATCATTCTCACTCACTTTTATTTTTTTCCTTTCCATGTAAAATATTTAACATTTTCATTAACTCAATTGAATGTAATTATTTTATAAAGTGTTATATTATTTTCATTGATTATTCTAAATTTGTTTCATACAAATTATTTATAAATAAAAGGGGTATGTTTGTTTTATCATTTTAAATACGATAGATTTATTTTTACATCAAATAACCAACAAACATCATTTACAAACAAATATTTTGTGAAATAACCTAATTGTAGTATTTAAATGAATAATAACTTAAAAATAACAATGATTGAATCAGAAGACAAACAAAAACAAACGAAATTACTTTTAATTGGAGAAACAGGAAATGGTAAAAGTTCACTTGGTAATTTCATTTTAAAGAATGATGTTTTTACAGTAAGTGATAGTACAATTTCAGAAACAAGAGATGTTGTTGGAGAAAATGGAAAAGGAGATAGAAAAGATTTAATTGTTATTGACACACCAAGTCTTCAAGAATCAAAAGAATTTAATGAAAAGTTTTTGAATAATATAGTTGATATTGTTCAAGAAGAAGAAGGAATCAATGGAATTGTTATTATTCTAAATTATAATACAAATAGAATTTCCAATAACATTATAATAATGATTCAAATAATGTCTAAAATCTTTCCATCACATGACTTTTTGAAACATATCTGTATTGTATGGAATAAATGTTATTATTATATATCAGATAGGCAATTACAAATCCAAAAAGAAATTAAAAGAAATGAATTTCTTCCAGAATTACTGAGACGTACTGAAATAAATGGAACAAATGAAAATATTGAAATACCAATGTATTATGTAGATTCAGAACCAGATGAAAGATGTGATAATAGAAGATCAGAAAATGAAATAGAAAGATTAATTGAATGGGGAAGAGAAATAACTCCTATTAATATTGATACAAGTAATCAAGAAAAAACACCAGTCATAGAAGAAAAAGAAGAAACAGAATCAATGGGAAATAATGATAAGCAAATAATAACACAAGTCAAAAGGAAGAGAAGAGAAATAAGAATTGGTTTTAATGGAGAAATTAAATATGGTGATTGGAAATTAATAAAAGTTATGAGCAATGAAAAACAGTCATGGTTACCAAAATTAACAAGCAACACATTAAAAACAGCAGCAGTGGTAGGAACAATAATAACAGGAACAATAATAATAGGAACAATTATATTTTTTTTCGTAAAAGATAAATAGGTTTAAAACAAATAATTTTAACTAAATTCAATTAACTATTTTTTAAAACATTAAATTGATTTTATTGAAATAACAATTGAATAGTTTAATTTATCAGTTCCAATATAATTCAAATTAAACAGAATGAAATAATGAATAAAAATGAATATTGAAATTATTGAAATTGTTGAATAAATTAAAGACAAACAATAATGAAAATAAAAGAAGAAATTAAATATGTTTTTTTTTTTGAAATAATAAAACATTTGACAAAATACTTTAATTGTTGTTATTCAATGAAAATTAACCATAAGTTCAATGCTAAAAAGATAGAATTATGACAAATTAAATAAACACATTTTCATAAAAAGAATAAAGAAAATTAATAAATAAATCAAGAAGTGGATATATTCAAAAGAAGAATGATAAATGAACAACACTCAACAAATACAATTGAATTATCTCATTTATATAAAATAATGTGAGTTGTTTAATAATCTTTAAATAATACTTTTATATCTATTTTGAATATTATAATTAAAATAAATTAATTTATTGTGTTAATAGAATTATTCATTATTTTTGAATAAAATTTAAATATGAATTAAATTAAAAACGATGTTATAAATCATTTGTACAAACACATTTATTTACACATAACAGTGAAATGAAAATATACAAATAAAAACATCATTTGAAAAATACAAATAATATGAGGGGGTTATGGTTAATAAACAAAAAGTGAATTAAAATAGTTTGAAATATCATTAAATAATAAATAAAATGAAATAAACGTCATTCAACAAAAACAAAAATAAATATAAATACACTGAAATAATATTTAAATAAATAGGAATTAAAAATAAATAATGAATTTACAAACAGATGAATTAAAACAAAAACAAACAAATTACTTTTAATTGGAGAATCAGGAAAATGTAAAAGTTCACTTGGTAATTTCATTTTACAGAAGAATATTTTTGAAGTAGGTGATAGTCTAAATTCAGAAGCAAATAAACCTCTTAAATGTTTTGGAGAATGAGATAGAAGTGATGTAGTTGTTATTGACACACCTGGTATTAATGATACTAATAATTTTGATAATAAACATATTCAGAATATTGTTAATTGTGTTAGAGCTGAGGGGTTACAAGGAATTATATTAACAATAGAATTTACTAATTGTAAATTTACTGATAATATTAAACAAGTTATTAAAATTATAAATAATGTTTTGAAAATAAAAGACATTTGGAAATATGTTTGTATTGTTTGGACTAAATGTTATAATTCTCTTTCACCAAAGAAAATTGAAAAAGATAGAATTAACAAAGAACAATTCAAAGAAAACATAATTTCATTTATAAACCAAATAAATAAAACAAATGAAAATATTGATATTCCAATGTATTATGTAGATTCACAACCAGATGAAGACTATGATAACAGAATATCAGAAAAAGAAATAGAAAGATTAATTGAATGTGGAAGAGAATTAGAATTAATTGATGAAGAAGAAATTAAGAAATTAATCAGTGAATATAAAGAAATTCGATATGAAGAAAAAAAGAAAAAGGTAAAATAATAAAAGAAACAGAATCTGATATAACATATGAAATAAATACATACAGAAGAGAAATTAAAATCAAATATAATGGAAAAGAAATACCAAATGAATGGAAATTAATTAGTACTAGAACTATAACAGAAAACAAACGTAATATATATCAACCATACGGTTGTGTTATGGTGTAATTGATGAAATGATAATATTAACTCAATATTTGATTATTTGAAATAAATTTGTTTGAATTAATAGAAAAATTAAATAAGTTAATTTCATCAATGTTTAATTTAATAAAAACAAAGAAATTGAAAATAAGAAATAAAAATAAATAAAGAAGAATGAGAATATGAGAAAATAAAGAAATGAAATAAAGAATATAATGAAACAAACAAATAAAATACAAGAATGATAATGATAATGAGTTAAACTAAATGTGTATGATGTAATTAATTTAATAATGAATGAAATTAATATAAAATAAATGTAATTTGAATATTTTAATAACAAAATAATGATATTTTATGATGAATATCAACATACATTATTAAAATATTCATCAATCATACAAATAACATATAAATGTATAAACAATAAATCAATATAACAACATAAAGAATAAATAAATCAACATCAAACAATCATTTTATATTTAAATTTCTATTATAATTCTTGTCAATTACTAAAGTGAAATAAATTAACAATTAGAATATTTTTTAAATGATACAAATAATAAAATGATGATTTATAATTGTCATTTAATAATAGAAGAAAAATGAAGAAAGAATAAAATGAAAATTAATAAGAATAGAATAAATAAAACATACAAATTAATAAATTATATTGAAATTCATTGAATATTTTAAATTATTTACACTTTTAGAATCAATATCAACACATAGTTATAACAAATAAATGAAATTCAATTATTTAATATTTAAATTATTCTTCATTATACAAAACAACATTAATGTATGTTGAGAATATTATTTAACAATATTTTTTAACAACAAATAATAAACATACATGGTACTTTTATATCATTTAAACATAATAATTATTATTTTTATTTTATATTTATATTATTTTATGTTTGAAAAGACATATTCAAAGAGACATTATAGAAGTATAAAATAAATAATAAAATAAAGAGGGTACGAAAATTAGCAAA